GCTGAATTACTGAGTTTTACTATCGCTTGGTAGTTTCTATGTACTTGTGAGATAATTAATGTACTCAGATGATCTGCGAATAGGTGTGCGAGGAAGACTGCAATATTGTTTACTATATCTGCATGATAAATTATGAATAGGTATGGGTTTAATGAACTACCTTGTTGAAGGCCAATGTGAGCCTGAAATACGTATGATTGTGAGTTGCCGAAAGAGATGTAGGTTTTTCTATTAGTCAGTCAAGTACTAAGTGTTTTAAATAATTTTAGTTCGATTTGCATGTTAAACAGCTTAATAATAAGTCCCATATGCCATATCAGCTACTATGCCTTTTTTTAGTCTACATAGATACCTAAAGTTGGTAATAGATCCTGCTAAATTATTTTGTTTATCTTTTGATTTATTGAAAATAGTCTGGTTTGTAACAAGTAACCATTGCGGAATCCGGATTGTTTTGTCAGTATTATGCAATTAAGTATAACCCATTCTTTTGCTCGTTCCGGTAAGATTTTTTCATAGATTTTTGAATGGGTAGCTAGCAGAAAGGCGGGACGCGTTTGTTCATAAGCTGGAATCCCGGATCTCAATTTATCATATACGTCAAACTTGAAACTCGAATTCATTGAAAATTGAAAATTTCAATTTTCAAATTTTAAACCAATAAAGATTCGTGACCCACATATATCGCTGTGAGTTGAAAGTTGAAATTTTCTATTTTCAACTGAATTCAAGTTTCACGTTTGACACTACTGATTTATGTGTGCCGTGCCACTCCATTATATGACTTTTTAAAGCTGCTAAAAATCTTATATATTCTCTGTATCATTCTATTGATTCTTGGTATTCTAATTGTTTCACCCAGTATTATTAAAGAAGGCAAAGAAGTAATTCATAAATTTTCCATCTAACTATTGGAAATTTATTTATTGTGTTGAAATGTACCGTCTCAGATTTATATATCAGGCGCGAATGATGACTAGATCCTAATTCCAAAGTTTCCATAGTAATACCTTTTATATTGGAAAAAGTAAAGTTCATATTGCGAGACGTGCATTTGAATGATTTAATAGTACACGAAATGTATTGTGCACTATTATTTTCACTCCATTTATTTAATAATTTACCTCTCTTATCTTCTTTTGAACTGTTCCATTCAGACACTGGATACTGAGTAGTATACTTGGTACTTTTGTACATTTTTACTTGAAAATCTTAAGTACCGGCAGAGTGTCTAACGTTAAGTACCTCTAGCAAGAGCCCAGTACCCGAGGTACTTACGATTTTTGAAAAGTACTGTGTTTGGTACTTATAGGAAAAAATCAAAGTAATTTAAAGATACTTTGCAATCTAGAAAATATCCTTTGTTTATTTTTTACGCCATTATTAAAAAGTTGTTTATCTTCCTCTTGTTTATGTTTGACTGGTAGATGGAGACAATAATATTTCTTTCTTTTAGTCCGATCGATCGATCGAATTGAATTGATTAATGATGAATCAATACTGAACTTTCTGTTCCTGTTTCTTCTTTTAGATTTCAACATTTTTATATTTATCGTCTTCAGCTGCTTTGGTTAAATAGTTATTTATTTAATTGATATATATTTGTCAAGTTCATCAATTAATTTCGTGTTAAATAATAAAACCAAGTGGGTTACATTAGTATCATTTTTCACTTCTCTTATTTTTCGTATAGGATTATATCATATTTTAAATATGATATGTTGAAACAGACAACTCTTGATAAATTACTTCGTTCAGCACCATTAACAACTACTGTTAAAAATGCTCAAAGTGAAAAAAAGTTAAATGATGGAACTTGTTTCTCAAATAATGATGATGTTAATAAAACTTCACTTAAAGAAAAAGAAGTTATTGCGAATGAAAATCAAGCTGAAATTATCATTGATTTATCAGATGAAAATGAAACATGTACATCATCAAATATAGTTGTAGATCATGATTATGATCATGATTATTCTATACAAACAGAAAATGAAGTAACAGTAACAAGTACATCACCAGTTACACTGCCAAAGAAAAAAATTGGTCGTTATTTAACAACATGGGGAACAACAACCAGATACATTTTATAAAACATAGGTATTTGATTCCAACAGGATTATGCATGAAAAACTCGTATGTTGGCTGTATAATAAAAAAGATAATGATGGAAATGATGGTCTTGGTTGTAGACTTTGTGAAAAATATAGCAAAATAACAAATTCAAATGGAAAAATCAATTTGTGGTGCACTGCAGGTTATCAGATTATGAAATTATCAAAAATCAAAGAACATAATAACAATGAAGTGCATAAAGAAGCTCAGTAACTTCAGCTACAACAAACATCTCAATTACAGCCTGACTGGCCAACAACACAAACAAAGGAAAGAAGTAAAAATGAAATTGCAATACAACATTTGATGTTATCAGCAGTTTATATTTGTCAACAAGATTAGTCAACTCGTTCATTTGAAAAATTATGCTTGTTGATTGAAACTCTTGGTGTTACATTATTACCAGCAGAATTAGGTGGTATTTCATATAGAAATGATACTGCTGCATTAGAGTTTTTGAGACATGTGGCTTCTTATTTACATGAAGAAATTATCGAAAAGGTTCGACAAAGTCCATCTATTGGTAAGGAAAAAATAAAATCTAATAATTACGATGTTCTTATCTATTTAGCTTGGATGCTTGATGAAAGTACTTCACGTAGCGTAGAGAAAAGTGTTATAGTTTATGTCAGATATTTTGATGAAGATGAAGCTAAAACAAGCTTTTATGGAATTATAGGTTTAGATGGTGATGGTTCATCTAATAATATAGTGAACTGTATTAAATCATTATGGCGGAAAGATGATTTGAATCCTTAAAAAACATGCTGGTTCGCCTCTGATAATGCCACAACTTTCACAGGTATCTCCTCTTGTTTTCGAAATCATGAACTTTATTTATTGTAGGCGTTAATAATGGTGTTGTTGCGAAGTTAAGAGAAGAATATGATATCGATTTTGTTGAGCTTAATACTTGCGCAGCACATTCATTTGCATTAGTTGGAAGTCATGCTGGAATCGACAAACAAAGTAAGTATTTAGTATGCTTCTATCTCTTAATTGAAAGTTCTTTTTAGTTAAAGATCAAAAAATAAAAAAACGTGATTTAATTTCAAAATTGGAAAATACTATGGGCAAAATTTATCAATATTTTGGTTCAAGTGCACTCGAACTTTTAAACTAAAGTGTTGGCAAAATCTTCTGGATCTTCCAGAATTAAAATTTAAGAGATTATTTCACATACGTTGGTCATCAACTCGAGATTCAATTAAACCCATTATGTTTAATATTACACCAAGTAAAACTTTTAATATTTGTATTATCTACATTAAAACATTCGTTACTTATCTATTGTAGCAAATCAAGCTCTATTCGCAACACTACAAGAGACGAAATTCGATAAAAAGTTAAGCAAAACTGATCGTGAAACTGCATCCGATTTAATGTCTTCAATATTGGATGATGAATTTTTATTTATGTTGCATTTTAATTATGATTTACATGAATGTGTTTTAGGTAAGACTAATCTTATGGTCATCGTAATCTTTTTATTTCAATTGTAGGAGAATTGACAAAATTATTACAAGATGATGATTTACCTTATTTTACCTTAATAATTATATTCAATGAAAAAAAAATATTAAATAATTGGCCATCGCAAAAACAAGAATCAACATTTACTTTTGGGACCATCATTGACTGACTATGTTCATTTTACTTCTAGCAATAATTCTTATGGTGCATTTCAAATTGTTGTTGGTGATCGAAATAAATTGTTTGACGAATGCTTTACACATATTGATCGATTATTATTTGAAATAGAAAAAAGATTTAAACCGTCAAAAGTACAAGAATGTTTTCTTGTTTTATTTGAACCTGATTATTTAGTGAAAAATAAAAATGAAATCACGAAATCCTATTATGGACGAGAAGAACTTGATTATATTTGTAAAAAGTACAAAAGATTGAATGGATTTAACATGGAAAAATGTCATAACGAATGGGAAAATTTTAAAATTTCATTGAGTGAATTTGTATATGTTAATCAATACCAAAAATCTAGAAGAATTTTTTGGAAATTTTTTATTTCATGGAAAGAAGCTATCGATCATTGTTTTCGTTCACGATTCCAAAATTTTCTAATATTACTATCAATTTATTTGATATCACCACTTAATTCAGCTGAATGCGAACGTGGTTATTTAATTGCAAATAAAATCCAGACAAATGGGCGTTCACAAATCATGATCGAAACACTTGATGTATTAATGAACGTGCGATTACTTTTTCCTGATGATTTAAGAAGGTAAGACTATTGTACTTTGAAAATAATAAAACATAACCAAATCTTTCTAAATTCGTTTTAGTACTCGTTGTCAAGAATTTATTGAGAAATCTTATAATACATGGAATGGTAATGATGAAAATCGTCGAATTAATAGAATAAAATTGTTGATTGATGTACCAGATGATTATACACCATCAAAACAGGCTCGTCTCCGTCCTGGTAAACAAAAGAGACCACTTTCAACAACACAACAACAGCTGGTACAAAACAAAAACAAAAAAACAAAAACTGACGCTTTAAAATGTGCTAACCGTTGTGGGCAACGTATTGCTGGAGGTGATTCATCGGAAATGCATGCCATTCAATGTTGCTATCAAAATGAATTCTACGATTGGATCGAATATAATTGTTCAAGATGCCCAGGTCAATGATTCCGGAGGACGGATACTGTAGGAACCGGCCGGAAAGATGCGGAAAAATCACCGTATCTGGCCGGAAAGCATGGGAAAGCACTGGAAACTGGAAGCAGTATTCCAGTTGGAAGTTACCGGATTTTTTTCCTGTGGATTCCGGTCAGTTTCCTGTGTTTTCCGGTCAGTTTTCTGCTTTTTACATCTGGAAGTTGATCGGAATCTACAGGAAGAAAATCCGGTAACTTCCAACCGGAATACTGCTTCCAGTTTCCAGCGCTTTCCTGTGCTTTCCGGCCGTTTCCCGCCGTACGTCCACGACCTGGGCTGGTTGTGCAACAGTCGCCGCATTAAATTAGGTATTTCAATAGAATCAATATCACGGTTCTGTGAAGATTGTGCTGATATGCATGAGGAAGAAGAATAAAAAAAAATTTTAAATTTTTTTATATGTAATATATACATTATAGTATAATTTAATTCAGATTAAGAGAAACTTCATTTAAACTTGTTCAGATCAATGTTTAGGTATTTTTTTATTTATTTATGGCGTGTTTTTTTGTTTTTATTGAACAAAATTATATTTTGAATTAAAAGATGAAGTCTATAATAATTTTGAGTATATTTTTCTTGAATATGTTTTAGCTATGGTACTTTGATGTACTTTGCTACCCAGAGAAAAGTATCAGTAAATACTTTGTCAATAGAAATAAAGTACTCATTTGCACTTACTTTTAGATTCCTATTAGACACTCTGAGTACCGGTACTTAGTACAAATGTACTTGAATGTCGTTGCTGATTGGTTATATTGATTTTTCAGTGATGAATAGAGGCACAGAGAGTGAATACTTAGTACAGTACATATACTTCTGTACTTTTTTCTTAGAAAAATGTTGGAACAAAGTAATTTTTTGCAGTAGAAGTGAAATTACTTGTATTTCAAAAGTTTGTTCAAAAGTAAATTACGCTATGAAAAATTATCTTGGTATTTGGCTAATACTCGAATTCGGATAAGACAAATATCTCACTATTGTTGCATGAAATTTTTCTGTCATATTTTATTTTCCCTTAAATAGCATGCTATTCTGTGATATGATATTATGTCTGTACAGGCCTACGCAAAAAATATCACAATTGCTTCTCTGTTAATTGAATTAATAGTAAATGAACACTCCTACATAACTTATGCACTCCCGCTTCCAAAAAGATGTTTTTATTTTGCCCGCAAAAAATTTTAATTATACTACACCAGATGAGCTGAAATGTGATGTGTCTTTGATCGCATCCTTTCTGAAAATGTGATGCCTACCACTATAAGTGTTTATTAGAAGCATTCAATAATTTGAAAATAAACACCAAAATGAAGAGTAAATGTTTGATTTCAAATAGCATGTAGTAAAAATTCATAAAAACCAATGAAATGGTTTATAATATAGCGAACATTAATTCGAAACATACTCTTCACTGGAGCTCTTGTTCACTTATATTTTTACATTCTAATGATGTACCGAGATAAGATTGTGAAAAAACTGACTCGGCATGTGTAAGTAAGTGAACCTCTCAATAGCGTCAGTTTTACGACCCCAGTGGTCTTTTTCTATTCGTGATTATTATTATTATCATACTTAAAATTGCATTGTCCCAATTAATTATCGGAAATGAAGTCATTCAATAATTCTAATTATCATTAACCGTTTAATTTCGATTACAAACGTTTTCAGGTGATCAAAATAAAAGATGTTAAAACTCAACTTATTTTAATTAGCATCTGTTTATCAATTTGTACTTGAATGATGTACTTGAGTATATCGTGCTCAAGTAAAGTTCGAAGTACATGTGTTAAGTAAAAAATACTCGTACTTTTACTTGTCCAGTGTCTGGTTAGGGTCAACAATAATATGTTTAGAGTCTTTCATAATTATCCTCTCTCATACATTTTCCTTTCCTTCTTTCCTCTTCTCTCTTAGTTGCGTATGCGAAAGACTGCTCTATATGTATACAAGGCGATTTATGATATGAGGAAGCTAAATAAAGTGTAATACTACCAGCACTGGCATCTCTTCTATCTAAAATCATCACATAGTTGTCATATGGTTTCTAGAGTACAAATTGTACTTTTATTCACGCATTTCTACCTGTTTCACAATGTTCATTCAAAATCAAAGTCGTGGAATGTCGATATACTTACCCTGATAGAAATACTTTCAAATTTCTTCAAGCGTTTCTCAGCAAAATTTCAAGAATCAGAGCAATAAATTCTGATCTTTATGATCTGGTCTTTTCTTAAATCTATTTCCAGTTTATCTACTACTCGTTATCTACTCTATGATTTTTGTCTTCATCGAACACTTTTGACTATTCTAACTAAAGAAAAAACAAGCTCGATTATCCGAAATTTTATTCCAGTGATTCATTAATTGCTTCTTTATAACTGTGTTGACCCGCATGTTCGATTCATTCGAGATTTTTTGTCTTTTCTCTTTGTCTCCTCGGTACTCTGTCACCTTTTGGTGTCTGATGCTTTTCGCTTTTCTATATCACACATCTCTTTTTCACAACAATAGACGGTGGAAAAATATAAAAAACAATTTAGATCATTTCAGTTCGTGCATAGGCATATTTGTAAGCTATATTTTAGAAGTCGCCCGCTACGACCAAAGCACCAAGCTTTCGTTTATTTTGTAACCAAGAGAAATAATACCGAATTGATGATATCATATCGGTACAACTCTACTGTGTGAACACTATGAAATGAGTTAGTTTATTAATGGTACATAAAGTTTCGATGTTACTGGATAAGACATACCACCCGGAGGTTGTGCTGTTGCAATCCCTATTATACCCATCATGATTATGGTCAAGATTTCGTTCGAGTAAACCATTTTCGAACAAACGTTGTATTCCAAACCAGAAAGAATTAACACTGAAATAAACAATTTGTGGATTTTACCAGTGATACGCGTACACTTTATATACTTTATCATAAAGAGAGAAAAAAAGAGAAAAAAATCATAGATACTTCTTTTTCTCCGCACAAATTATTCAAGTGTGTCCACACGAAATATTGTATCAATTAAAAAATCGTTTAACATTTAGATGACTTCTTAAAACATATGCTCAACCGTACGAAACAGCATTTTTTTTGTCGAAGCCACGACACGATCAAAGCTTACTTTTTTTCTTTTCTAGTAGCACAACTGTTAAGCATCAGTGCAAAACGATTATAAATTTATACGATTAATGCGCCTTTGGAAAAGAAATTTTATCCTTTGAAATTATATGACTATTATCTTTCTTTTATCTTGCTTACAATTACCCTATCATCCGATCATAACAAGTCAGTAACGCAAAAATAAATATTTTGTTGCTCACAACAACATGTTGTTTGTCGTAGCTCAGGTAGCTTCTATTTTTGTTAATTATACTTGATAATAGTTAGAA